ACAGATGATAGATAGACAGACAGATACAGACAGACAGACAGACGATAGACAGACGATAGACAGACAGATGATAGATAGACAGACAGAGACAGACAGACAGACAGACAGACAGACAGACAGACAGACAGATAGATAGATAGATAGATAGATAGATAGATAGATAGATAGATAGATAGATAGATAGATAGATAGATAGATAGATAGATAGATAGATTTTTGTTGTGTGATGTTTACCGTGTTGTTGGGATGGTAGTTCAGATGTAGGCCGCTGTCACACAGTGGAGACGATGTTCCACTGCTCTGGTCACTTGGTATACCTAAAGAAATCAAATAAACGGGTAAGTTATTTCATTATAAATTTCACTTTAAAAGACTTTGACACTTTAGGTTCTATATTAACCGGTGTATATAGCGTGTCCAATCCCAGACGTACATGAGCAGTCCTCACACAGCGGCAGCTTCAGAAATGCAGGCGTCCTCTTCAGGAAAGACACGGTCAGAGTCACTTCCTCACCTGCGTTTCGCAGAACCTGCACCTGAGAGCAATCAATATGCTTGCTTATTCAGTTATTAGAATGGATGTGTCACTTGTTTTGTTGCAATTAGTCAAGCTTTTAAAGGATGAGTCAAAATTACTGACACACTTCTGTTAAAAGACTGAGCACAGGGAAAAACTGCTTTGTAAAAACAGCACTGATTGAACTGAAATATTATCTAGAAAAGATGAAACATACCACTTCTTCATGACGATAACTCCTCACGTTAATGCCGTTAATCTAATGACAACATTAGAAAAAGAGTACAAATTAGTGAAAGAGTAATAAGAGGGAGTTATGAATAGATCCTGATATACACAACCGTTCAAAAGTTGGGGTCAGCAAGTTTCTGAAAGAAGCCTCTGATGGCTGCATTTATTTGATCAAAAATACAGTAAAAATAGCAATATTATGAAATATTATTACAATTTAAATGAACTGTTTTCTATTTGAATATATTTTAGAATGTAATTTATTCCTGTGATTAAACGCTGAATTTTCATTAGTGTCACATGATCCTTCAGAAATCATTCTAATATGTTTCTAAAATATGCATTCTAATATTTCTTATTATCAGTGTTGAGAACAGTTGCGCCGCTTCATATTTTTGTGCAAATGGGGATACGTTTTTTCAGCATTCTTTCAGGAATAGAAAGTTGAACAGAATTGTATTTATTTGAAACCTTTTGTAACAGTAAAAATGTTTTACTATCACTTTTAATCAATTTATTGCATCCTTGCGGACTAAACATTTTTATTTGTTTTTTTAATTGCAGACCATAAACGTTTGAACAGTAATCTATAAATGTTTTAATAATTAAAAATTGCTTGTTGCAAGTACATCCACCAAAGATCTGAATCAGATCAGAATTGAAGCTATAATAATATTAAGAACAAAAAAATCATATTAAGGATAGTTTATATGTTAAATAAAGCTGACAGTCAAAGCAAGCATATTTCGAAGAATTCATGAATGAATTGTTCAGAAAAATACATACATAATTCAGATTGAATATATAACCCATTCACTGCAGAGGATCCATTGGTGAGCAAGTGATGCAATGCTACATTTCTCCAAATCTGATGAAAAAACAAACTCATCTACATCGTGGATGACCTGAGGTTAATACATTTTCAACAAATGTTCATGTTTGGGTGAACTATTCTTTTAATAGTCATACTAATTAGGACACACAAATTAGTTTAAAATGCGTTTGTAATTGCTTATTATACAGTGCATTATAAAACTAATGAGATATCATTTCTTTCACTTTATAAACTATTAATATTAACAATAATAATAACAAACAACTGAACATCATTACATCAATTCATCAATTCTGTTACCCAGAAAAGCAACTAATATACAGCTTTCGGCAAGGAAATATCTGACCACAGCTCTGAAAGTCAGCAGAGACCAGGACAACTAGATGAGCCCCAGATCCCCAGTAAAGACCTTGTCTCAGACGACCACCGGGACAAGACCACAGGAACCAGATGAGTCCTCTGCACAATGTGACTTTGCTGCAACCTGGAATTGAACTGCTGGTTGTCTGGCCAGAGGAGAACTGCCCCCGCCCCCCCGACTGAGCCTGGTTTCTCCCAAGGTTTTTTCTCCATTCTGTCACCGATGGAGTTTTGGTTCCTTGCCGCTCTCGCCTCTGGCTTGCTTAGTTGGGGACACTTCATGAGATATAATTTCTTTCACTTTATAAACTATTAATATTAACAATAGTAATAACAAACAACTGAACATCATTACATCAATTCATCAATTCTGTTACCCAGAAAAGCAACTAATATACAGCTTTCGGCAAGGAAATATCTGACCACAGCTCTGAAAGTCAGCAGAGACCAGGACAACTAGATGAGCCCCAGATCCCCAGTAAAGACCTTGTCTCAGACGACCACCGGGACAAGACCACAGGAACCAGATGAGTCCTCTGCACAATGTGACTTTGCTGCAACCTGGAATTGAACTGCTGGTTGTCTGGCCAGAGGAGAACTGCCCCCGCCCCCCCGACTGAGCCTGGTTTCTCCCAAGGTTTTTTCTCCATTCTGTCACCGATGGAGTTTTGGTTCCTTGCCGCTCTCGCCTCTGGCTTGCTTAGTTGGGGACACTTCATTTCCAGCGATATCGTTGACTTGATTGCAAATGATTGCAAAGATACTATTTAAACTGAACTGAGCTGGATGATGACATCACTGAATTCAATGATGAACTGCCTTTAACTGAAAAATGAGTGTTTACTATTGTCATTTTGCATTATTGACACACTATTTTCCTAATTAATGCTGTACAGTTGCTTTGACACAATCTGTATTGTTAAAAGCGCTATATAAATAAAGGTGACTTGACTTGACACTGGAAGGTGCTGCTGACCAAGAGCCATCTAATAAATATATACATTACACATAAAATATGATTTAGCATACTGATGGCAAAAAAACATTATGATTGATTATTTAGTCAATCATTAATCCATACCATTACATATTTTAATTATTTATAGTTAGATTTTTATGGCTTTTTACTTTTTATAATAGATTGTAATCCTCTTTATAATCCTTACATTAAGTCCTTATTGTCATCAGAAAATGAAAAGTATTACAGAGAATGAAACTGTAAATCTGTTGTCTGTTAAATAACTGTTTGCTAGTCTGCAGACAGGGGAATTAAAGCAATCGGTTTTGACCTAACATCTTTGTTCCCCAGTGGAAAGTCAACAAATCCATTTATTTGATCGATGTGCTCCTGCCTCCCTACACACGACTACAGCGAGCATTTATTTGGATAGAGTTTTGTTCAGCAAATAACGCTGAAATAGATCTGTTACAAGTTGTATGCGAACACTACTTTATCTAAAATAACAAAATGTTTCAACGGCAATACCGTATTGACCCGAATATAGGACGATGTTTTTTTCTTGGAAATACATCTGAAAAAACACCGTCGTCTTATATTCAGGGTTTAGACTTTGACATGTCAATAATACACCCACAACAATAGGTGGCGCCAAATACGCATAAAACGAGTGTGCCATGAAATACGTAATGTAATGCGTGTTGTAAAGATCGCAAGTAAAAACAAAAGAGAAAGAAAACCTTACAGCTGCATGAGTCGTGACTGTCACGTTAGCCTGATGGGACCAAACTCCCTTTGTGATTTTAAAGGGGTTAAATCTTGCAAAAACATATCTAAATCACATTTTATCATAAAAATGCACTAGATTTCATTTGATTTGTGATGAAATATGACTCAGACATGCTGTTTGTGAGATTCACCCAACAACAAATTTTCTGGTACACAATGATACTTATTTGTACAGGATGAATAAATCACTGGAGGCATTTCCTGCTGTTTTTCCAGTGCTGCTTTATAAATGTCTTAATAATTCACATTGTGAAAAGAATCACACAGCAGTAGCTGACCACAGCGCTGTTGTCGTTTAGCATCAAAATGCCACTTGTGTACTAGAAGTACTAGTGAGCGCTAGGATTAAAACCGTCCTGAAGATTGTTTCACAGAGGAATCACTTCTGCTATTTCATCTCCCAGAGTAGCACAAATTAAAATCATGACCAGTGGAGCATATTTAATCAGAACAATCGCATAATTCGCACAGTCTGAAACCACTCAGCGGGGCAAATGTGGAGAGATTACAGCTCTATCTGCCAGTTTGTTTTTTTGTGGAAGCTTGTTTCTGCTATGGGATAAAATAATTAAACTGTACATACATGCATGGTGCTGTTTTTTTTTTTAATTGTTTAAGCAACTTTATTAATTATATATGGTTTATAAACATTATTTTAAACATTATGCACTTTTTTTTCAAAGATAGTCATGTTATTTTATTACGCTTTGAAGAAACGTTTTGAAGAAACGAAAAATATTTTGCGCGATGTGCCCTCTTGTGGCCTCAGGAGAGAAGCCAAAAGCTTTTTTTCCCCTAACTGAAATTATGCCTTTTAAATTAGAATATAATTCGAATTTTGATAATATTTAAGTAGAAAATTCGAATTTAGTTTTTCAGTCATTTTGACAGCCCTATTCTGAATTAGAATTTCTTAAATCTCAGAAATCTATTTTTTTTGTTTCCGTCACAGAATAAAAATTAAAAAGTAATCGCGACTTTTTTATTTTACAGTTCTGATGTTTTTTCTTGGAATTCTGAGTTTATGTTTTACCATTCTGACTTTTTATCTCTGAATTTTTTCCTAACAGTTCCAAGTTTATGTCTTGCAATTCTTGCAGTTTATATTTCACAATTCTGTCTTATTTTCTCAGAATTCTAAGGGTTTTTCATTTCTCCCATAGAATTCAAAATAAAAACTGGTAATCGTGACTTTTAGATGGCGCCACCATCTGTACAGCTTGGTGGCGAGTCTATATCTCACAATTCTGACTTTTTTTCTCATCTGGGAATTCTGAATTATGCCTTGGAATTCCGACTTTTTTTTCTCAGAATTCTGAATTTATATCTCACAATTCAGAGTTTATATCTCAGAATTGTGAGGGAAAAAGTCAGAACTGTGAGATATGAACTCAGAATTGTGAGAAAAAGAAAAATCTAAACTGTGAGATAAAAAGCCGCAATTACCTTTTTCATTTTATTTTTTTTTATCTCATAGCGGAAACAAGCTTTTATAGTTTTCACCATATTTTGTCTGTATTCCAAAAGCAAGGACAGCCCGGCTATTTTCCCCCACTTTAATCAGCATGCTTTTGCTCTAAGAGTGCTTGAATGGTAAAATGTTGGAACATTTCTCCATAAGTGGCATGTGCCATAAGATACCTTCATAAGCGAGACATATTGGCGAGCCCTTGGATTCCAAATTCCCCATTATATATCAAAAAATGACAAAAAGCCATCTCAGTGATGAACCTTGTCCTCACATGGAGTGCACTTAAGAGGAAATAGCAATCTGAGGTTCATAACGGAGAGGATATGTGTCTCCAAAGCAGCGATGGTGAGTACCTCTTGAGTGCCATCTGTCAAAATGAGCTACATGCCCCTTTAAAACCTCTGAGCTGGAGGAGACGTCGCGGATCGCTCAGAATTTCCACCACGGATCGATTCCAGCTAAGAAAGTCCTGGCAGAATACACAAGGCCTTCAGACAGCGGCTTTATGAATAATTCATTGGCGTGGCAAGAACGAGTGTTCCCTAATAAACATCTCTATGAGGTCTACAGGTCTTTCCACTCACGTGCCATCTGCAGCTTCCTTCATACGGAAAAAAGAAAAGCCAATAAGTTTAACGTGTGGCTAATGAAACCACTCTCATTGTCATTTATCAAAAACGCGGCAGAGGAATGCGCAGAAGGACGCTCAATAGTTTTGTATAGTTTTGAATAGTATTGATTCAATAAAGCTCTCCTAGTGGCCTAAGACACTTTTTGGCTATACAATTTAATAAACCAACATAACATGTCACAAACAATGATAAAAGACACAGTATAAGATAAAACATTATGATTACAGAGAAAACTAGTTTCTGCACAAATATGAAACTTTTAGCACCTTAATAAAGCAATAACAATGTCACAAAGCATGTTTAAGTCATTTTTCACCTCAAAAAATTGTAGGATATTTTGCTTTGTGACGTTATGAAGCTCATCTCTCCCTAAATTCACATTACCGTAATGCATTCAGACATTTTAATTTCATTTATTTTGCCATTCGTAATACTTTTAATGATGATTTCAATCATTTTACTTTTTTTAAGAATAGATAGATTCGAATATAGTTATATAGATTTGAATATAGAATATAGATAGAAATAGATTTTTTTGAATGTAGAACATTTTTTTTTATATTCTATTACAATTTTTATTAAGCTCAAATCTCCTTTCATAGTGGCCTAAGGCACTTTTTGGCAATAGAAACCGATATATAAAAAATTATATCACAAACAATAATAAAAGACACAATATAACATTAAACTAAACACAG